TCTGAAGAAGGGTCTAGGCCCGAAACGTCAGCCTTCCTGCTCGTCTGATGCTGCTTGGCCTGCTGTGTTCATCCAGCTCTACACCTTGTTATCTTAGCGTAGCTTTCAGTTTAGTCTGCCTTTACACGCCCTGTCTTATGGTAACACATTTGATTAAATTGTATGTTGATTGCCTTAGTTAATACAGAAGTACATTTTCTTTGTTTCACCATATTAGTTGGCTGCTAAATGGTGTTTGATTTCCGTTGATATTAGTTGGTTTGTTATACTAAAAGTCTTAAACCATGAAAACATGTCCTTTGATTTAGGTTCATAAGTCAGTGGGAAATCCATTTATTTCTAAAATTAATTAGTCTCTACTGTTATGATAAGAAAATGTGGAGTTGGGACTAGATTTTACAAACTTATTTTGCTGTGCTGGGAGTCAGCTTCTTCCTCGAGAACATCTCTTAAAATGGTATTATGAATAAGTATGAGCATTTCTGGGAAGAAGAGATAACTGTTGAAGCTTTTCATCTTGCTCTCATCAGGATAGCGTCACAAGAAAACCAAAATTTTGGAACTGGAATTTGGTATTCTTGCAATTCCGTCTCAGGATGAAAAACTTTGACAGTATACCTTTTAGCAATTCTAAAATTCTATACTACCAAGTAACTATAAATAAGTTAATTGTTTAAATTTATATCTTATTTGGCATGTGTTAAATTAAGTTTCAGCAGGCTACAAAGGTAGAACACCAGTTGCAGTTGTGTTAATCTTGCCACGTATCAGAGCTACTAAATTTGCCAGATATGGACGTTCCTTAATTCAGTCAGAAATTGGAACTCCTGGATGGTTAGATCAATCAGAATAAACTTTTAGAAAATTTCTTCAGCTGTTTTCATTTCATTCTTAAGAACATTGGTAGCATGGTGGCCCAGTGGTTAGCACTGCTGCCTTACAGCAGGGACCCAGGTTTGAGTCCACCCTTGGCCGACAAGCTGTGTGAAGTTTGCACGTTCTCTTTGTGTCAGTGTGGGTTTCCTCTGGGTGTGCTGGTTTCCTCCCACAGTTTTAAAATGTGCAGGTTAGGTGGATTGGCCGTGGGAAATGCAAGGATAGGGTCAGGGCTTGGGTCTGTGTGGGATATAAAGAAATTTTATATCTATAGAGGGTTGGTGTGGACTCTGGGCCAAATGGCCTTCTTCCACATTGTAGGGATTTTAACAGTAAGAAATGCTTTATTGCATATAGTTAGTGGAGAGGTTTGTGGAACATATGCTTCAAGAGCCATTTGGTACCTAACAAGCTGGTAGAGAATGATGATTGGTAATAGATAATCATCCTGAGGACAAAGATCTAGTAGCAATGGTCTCTCTCTAACTGAAAACTGCCTTTCCAAATGAATTTTTAATACTGGACAGTTCTTTCCATATCTTGAAGAAAGGTAGCTCTGGAATTGTGGAGATAATGGTTGCCAAAAGGGGAAGTGTTAAACGCAGCAGTGTAGCAGTAGTGGCAGATATGGTGCTAAGATCTTATTTGCTTTGCACTTGACCTATAAACACCCAAATTCCAGGAGAAGCTAAATAATAAAGCAGAGTAGAAGCTTCTGTAGAAGAAAGGGATCAGCAAGAATTTATGCTTTTTGCCAAAACCAAATGTATATGAGAACAGGATTCCAATGCTACAAAAAAAAGCACAGAAAAGAAAACAGTTCCTGCTGTTACTGTGGACAATAAAATAAATTCAGCCAAGGAGTGAGAACAGATGTATTTTGAAATTTTCCACAGCACTGAACAGAGCAGAATTTGACTGTGCAATAATGTGTAAATTGGGTGATTATTGGAAGTCCATTTTACAACTCTGGATTTTTATTTCAGTTTGATTAATTTATCAAACTCTGAGGACAAAGAAGTGTGAGAGAGTTTAAGACATAAGAATGGGAGATGAAACAAAGGGGCAGCAGAAAGAGAGAGAAATCACAACAGAGGCAATCTCTGCAGTGTGAGAGCTATCGATAAGGTTTAAGGGAGATGGGTTTGGGGTGTGATAGTTTCATCTCCTTAAAGGCAGAACTTTAACAAATGCAGAATGAATATCTGCTCCCCCCACCCCTGATTGTCGCTTTTAGGTTTGGTCTGATTTTCCAATTGAACAATAACACCAGCAACCAGAACTTCCATCTGAAACAAAATTAAATCTCATGAATAAATCCAAATTGGGATTAAGTGATATCATTACGACTTTTTACTGTTTTGCTAATCCCACTTCCTGCTCCTGCCAACAGTTATGCAGCATCTCAGGTTCGTTTAATACATCCTGATCAGTGATCTGACCCTTTGATCATTTATTTATAAATTCTGTGTCTAATATTCCCTCTCCCACTAACACCTGAAGAAGGAGCGAAGCTCCGAAAGCTTGTGATTTCATATAAACCTGTTGGACTATAACCTGGTGTTGTGTGATTTCTGACCTTGTCCACCCCAGTCCAACCCCAGTACCTCCACATCTTCCAGAGACATGCTCTGACATAAGGTTGCAAATCCCATTGTTGTTATTCTAGCTTCTGAAGTATAAGGGAAGTCTTTCAGAGACATTAAGCTAAGGGAGGTTCATGAAAAGGCAGAGATTTGAAGAATAGCAGATGGGTTCCCCTCTGTATGCCAATTAACTGTTGAGAGAATTATCTTCCTAAATTCTAATGCAGGAAGTGAGGGCACATAACAGTAACAAAGACTCAATTATATGTACCAAATATTGCGAGAGTCAGCGATCCAGCCAGAATGATCACTGTCTGCAGTGCATCTGTATATATAACAGCAGCCAGCCCACCTGTCAGAAAAGAGAGAGCAGAAATAAATCTTCAAAACAAACATGATTGAAAAGTGTGTATAATTGAGAATGCATGAGAGCATATGTGCAGATTTTAAGTATGCATCCACAGTGCTGTTGCACTTCCAAATCTTCTGTATACTTGCACATAATTATGCAGGGGTACATACCTGTGTCTTTTATTTAAATGCTTAAATGTTCATGTCTTCTGAATATTTATTTGAGATTTTTATCTTTATTTATGTTTTTGCTTCTGTCTTTACTTACGTGTGTGTGCAACTGTGCACATGTGTGCACATAAATGTTTCTTTAGGTGCATGGGAGTTTGTACCTGTGTGTATGTGTGCATTTGCATTTGCATTTATTTATAGACCCTGCAAGAATTGAAATTAAGTCAGTGTCATGTTTGTGGTGTGTTAGGTTTCACACCATCCCTTGGCAGGTTCCTACATGTAATATAGTTACATGCTGTGAATGCTTCTTATGTTGACGCTTTCTAAAAATTATGTCAAGATTACTCACAATTAAGTCAGTGATGAATGAGAATCCCAGGGCACTAGGTTTGCCTTGGTTCAAAACAGACATGAGCCAGTCAACTTTGTGCAGTTGTGTTTAAGGTCAGCAGTTTTCCTTGCTTAACTCTGCACTTCAAGGGAGAGGATCAGAATTATTGCAGTTTACATGGAGGCTCAGGACTGGAAAGCACGAGTTAGGGATTGAAGGAATTGAATGACTGTATTTGACTGTATTGTGAGAAGGGATGGCCAATTGTGCTGGGTGTAGTTACAGAGGGAAAGTACAAGGTTATGTTAAGTAGTCAAGGGCAATGACAGCATACACGATACAACAGGAGGAAGCTGGAAGGCACAGGATTGGGCTTTGAAGATATCATGCACTATTATTTGTGTTTCACTCCAAATGCACATTGACATACAAGGTTTGCAGATTTAAGGAGGAGGAAGCCAGTATTTTGTGGGTGGAATATTATGTGTGGACAGTGTGAGGACTTAAGGTCCTTATTAATTCTTCGGATATGAACCATGGATATACATGTTCTCAGCTGTCAGTTCTGAGAAAGGGTCACCAGATCTCGAAACGTTAATTCTGATTTTTCTTCATAGGCGCTGCCAGACCTGCTGAGCTTTTCCAACAACTTCTGTTTTTGTTCCTCAGCTCTTATGCTGACCCTTTTAACAGAGTTCGATTGTTTAAGAAACCAAGGGGCTCAAATATTGCTGAAATATTGGAAGCAGCAGGAGAGGATGCAGCAAGGGGAGAGCTGTTGTTAGCTGACTACAGAGGTCTCGACAGCAGCATCGGGGGGCTGCCTGGTCACGATGTGTCGGAAATGCAGTTCTCTGACAACAGAGGTCTTGACAGTTCTCTGACAAGACCTAACCATATGTAGATGTTGGAGGAGCATTACAAAAATAACCTGACGATGCGCTGGGAAACAGTCACTGACAATGTGGAATCTTCAGCAAGACCTGCATCTGTGTAGATTTGGTAGGAGCCCTGTGCCAGTGGCTGCCAAGGGCACTGAGATGCTCAGTTTCTTCACCAGTGGTGGATTCACAGGTGGAATGGGTGACAGATGTGTCCTATTTCAGATATCGGTGAATAAAGGAGGTGACCAATGCTCTCTTCCATCGTGCCAATATCTTGATCCATTTCTCTACAGATGACGGCAGCCAGATGCTAGTGAGGGGGTCGGTAGGGGCAAGATGGTGCTGAAGAGTGGCGACTTTTGTTCCAGCGGTGGCGGCATGGCAAAAGGAACTCATGCCTGGCCACTAGGCCCATGGCCCATGGTGGAGAACTTAACAAGGAGTACTGTGATGTTGAACACTTTTCCTTTATTTCTTTATTTTTCTGCCTGTAACATTCTATCTTTTGGTTTATTTTTCTGTGTTTTAACATGGTGTCGAAGAGTGGTGACATTCTGCAGCATTTTTCACTGTATGTTGTAACAAAATACACGTGACAATAAATAAATCAAATCAAGAGGTCACAGACTACACTTGTGACTATTAGCAATCCCTGGGACCAGCCACGTACGTTTTTCTTATTCACTCATGGGATGTGGGCATCGCTGGCTGGCCAGCATTTATTGCCAATCCTTAGTTGCCCTTGAGAAGGTGATGGTGAGCTGCCTTCTTGAACTGTTGCAGTCTATATGCTGTAAGTAGACCCACAATGCCCTTAGGGAGGGAATTTCAGGATTTTAATCCAGCGACAGTGAAGGAACGGTGATATATTTCCAAGTCACATTTGTGAATTGTGAAGGATTGCACCTCTTGAACGTACAGCTGATTGGAGATGACAGGTGATGGATCATTGAGGGGTATGTGCATCTTTCCCAGGGAGCTGGCGTGATGCATACATCTTGCGCCATCAAATCTCCCAGAGAATTTTTAGTCCTTGCCCAGGCTAACGGCTGGATCCTAGGTGATAAGGACTATCCACTCCAGACATGTTCGATGATACCTGTGATGCATCTCATGAGTGTAACAAAAGAGCTGTACAATCAAGTTCATACCTTCGCCACAGCAATCACTGAACATACCATTGCCTCACATAAAATCAGCCTCTGCTGCTTTGACTGATCGACATAGACTCTGCAATACACAGCACAATGATTGCCATAAGCAGCTGGACAATGCAAAACCTGACCATGCAACTGACCCAAATGTTACAACAGGAACGGAATGAGGAGCAATCACTTCTCCCCGATTGAAGATGAATTGAATGTGAGCTTGAGGAAGAGGCTGTAGACATGAATAACCCTTTAATAGATGCCAGACTGTGGAGAGATGTGCACAGGATTCTAGGGACCACATTATAGATACACAGTTTGCCATTATCCCATCACCAGAACTTCTTCACCTTCCTGCAATGTAGCTGCATGCCTACTATTCTTCTTTGCAGATTAACCAAAAACCAGTACTTTCTACCACCCAGAATAAACCAGGCAGTGGAGCTTTGTTCCCCAAACTCACACCTACCCTACACTTGGACAAAGATATATTGATTAATTTCATCCAGCTCCACCTTCAAGGTGCACCTGAGTTATACCCATAGTGAGTGTTCTGCAGCAATCTGCTTTCGAACATAAAAAGACATTAATGAAGTGTGGGACAGTGAGGTGCAGCTGAATCTGCATCTTCAGCCATGATCCATTGACTAGCAAGTACAAAACCACAAACTTACGCAAATATTCTTTGAAGATTCATGTAATTGAAAACCATCTCCTTCACAAATAAATGCAATGTCCTTATCTCCTCTGGAACCAGCAAAGTATGCCAACCATGAGGCGTGCCATTCAATTTAGCTGTCACATTACCAAGATCCTGAAAAATTATGGTTATATACATTTGAATCTAGCAAAAACAATATATTTTGAATGTATTCACAGGTGAAATATATTCAGAATGATCACCATTCCACTTTCCTGTTCCTGCTGTTTAAAGTTTACATTTCTGGAACTATGTGCTACCCCAACAGCAGCAGCTGAGGTCGAAGCATTCTGTTCACTCGGCTGTCCTGTTATCTAATGATCATGTCAGGCAGTTCTAGACATGCGAAGCCTTGAGGACTCCTGCATTAGTGCAAGGATATATCCGTTACGTCAGCTGTTGGAGCTATTGGGATCAATGGTAGCAAGAGTGAGGAGATCAGAGGCGAACGGTCCAGAGGCAAACACCTTGGTGCAGCTGGTATATGCTGTTTTTTCATTTCGTTCCATGAGGAGGAAGGATTCCTGGTGGTAGGTCAAGGTTCCTTGTCCTCTTCTCATTCAACCAACAGCTGTGTTAAGCACAAGCCTCGGGTGATGGATACATGGGGTGAATGTTCAGCCTGGCTTTTCATCGACTTTTTTTTTCACTTGCCTGGGAAGTGGCAGCACTTATGGATAATGCAGGCTTCTCCATATTCCACACAAAGCTGCATGTACCTCTGCTATCCTTGCCCTGACTTCTGTTGCATGTCGAGTAGAGCTTGTGTCGCTATGACCAGAGGCTCATCATCAGAATGTAGCTCAACAGGAGCCTGGTCCCCAATTTTCCTCCAATTGTCTGTGGGGCCTCCCTGTGTTGTAGCTCAGGGCACAGAAAGAGTAGCCTCCCTCAGCTACACTACTGCCCTGAGCTGCACCAGACTGTGCTCCTGAATCTAAACATCAGCCCTTCTCAGACCTAGTGAGAGTAACTGCACTGGCAGAGGCTGATGAGACAGCTGACAGTGCATCCTCACAGACAGTGGCTTCATTGTCCCCAGAGGTGGAATCTCCTGGTTTGACAACATTGTAGGGTCTTCATCATGCAGCAACATGTCCTGTATTGGAGAACAAACTCAAAGATATCAGGAATGGCTGGTGTAGAGACAAACATATTTCATTTACAAAAGACTGCTTAGCTAACAGCAAACAGGAAATTGGCATAAATGCATCTTTGAGTAAAGACATAGAATCATAGAGATGTACAGCATGGAAACAGACCCTTTGGTCCAACTCGTCCATGCCAACCAGATTTCCTAAATTAATCTAATCTCAAAGGTTTTGGAGTAGATCTGTAGCTCGGGTTGTGGGTGTTGAGGTTGGTTGGCTCGCCGAACTGGTTTGTTGTTCCGCAGACGTTTCGTTACCGTGCTTGGGAACATCCTCAGTGCAGCCTCCGATGAAGCGTCGGTGTGTATTTTACTACGCCAAGAGGAGGAGGAATACCTCTTCCAAGTATTCAAGGATAATGGATATCCAAAGAACTGGGTCAGGAGATGCCTACAGGAACAGCATCAGAAAGATTCTACATGCCCCGACACACTCATCACACTACCCTACATCAGAAACACGTCAGAACTCACCACAAGACTTCTACGACCGCTGGGCATCAGAGTGGCACACAAGTCCACATCAACCCTACGACAAGTGCTCACCCGAACTAAAGACCCACTCCCCGCCATGGACAGGACCAATGTCATCTACAAGATCCCCTGCAGAGACT